ATTTCTTTCATCACGACGGTTGTGTCGATGTCGCGGCGTGGGAACCTATGAGAAGGCCGCAAAGCCCGAGACATCCTCCAGAACCGCCGGATCTCAGCGATTTTCGATCGATCCTCGCCCAAAAACGCGAATCCCCGTACTGCGTTAATGCGTCGGGGGGGGGGCAGGGCGCCCGAGACATCCTCCAGAGCCGCCAGATTTTCGCCGAAAAAGAATTCTCGTCCTGGGATCGTTTTACTGGGGGGGCAGGGCGCTCGAGACAGCTTCCAGAGCCGCCGGATCTCGCCAAAAATGATAATCGTTCTGGTTTCTTCCTACGGGGGAGCGGGGGGCCCTCGGCGTCATCCCGACATGCGCGTATTATGTGTGCGTCGCCCCCCGCGCGCACCGAAACATTTTGTAGGATATGCGTCGTGGCGGGCGTTTTCAGGCCACGCCGCTCGGCAGACGATCTACTACAATATGGTTCTAGTATATGTTCGGTTCGGCCGCGCGCTTCCAAGGAGGACGCATACCCAGACCCCCGACGTCGTGATTTTTTCGCAACGTCGACCCCCGGAGGTGTGGACCCATTCCCCAGGACCAGTTCTGCATCCTGGGTAGCTTGTTGACGGTCCCGAGGCCCGGCGAGGGCCCCCGGAGGCCGAAGATGACGACAAGCTTGCCGTCGTGACTGTGTCACAACGCGAGGGGGTCTGTACGCCTTTGCGCGCCCCACCCGCGCAGGAACTGCGTGCCTGTGCGTGCCAGGGGGGGGCCAGGACAGGAAACAGAGAAGGGGGCGGGAGTTGCGGCACCGAGCAGGCGAGGGGGGCGCCTCCAGAGGGGGCGGGGGCGCCTCCAGAGTGAGGTCGGGCACGGCCCTCTACAGGAGGGGTGCTCAAACATACTAAAAAATCAGAGTGAGGGGGCCGAACGGTCACTCAATGTCCCTGGGTGCGTGGCTGAAGTGAGAATCCGTGTTGTTGTTGTTGTTGTTGGTGGTGGTGTTGTTGTTGTTGTTGTTGTTGAACATTCTTACTTCTAAAGAATAATTATTGTTGGGGCCCCTGGTGCACGGCCCCCTCGCCGCGCCTAGGCCGCAGCCACATTTTCAGCATTTTCGTGAGGAAGTCTCTGACAAAACGATGTGATCCAGATCCGGTTGTTTTGTTACGGCCCGCTTTCCCTTGCAAAAAAATAAGCTAAAGTGAACATTTCTTGTTCTAACATAACCAAACTTCAAGAATCCCTTGCAAAAAATAAGGTAAAGTGGACATTCGCGCGCGCAAGACGAAATCCTTCCAAAACCTTAGTTTTCGTAGCGATTTTAACATAAAAACATCAAAAAAAACCAATGGTTTTTTTTTAAATGTCAAAATTTCATCCCGCGCGCTCTTGCGGATTCGTAGGAAACCCAACACTTTTTAAACATTTCTGTCAAACGGGCTTTTGCGAGCAACTTTTTCGAACTTCTGCAACAACGGTTGCGCACCTGCCAGGGCCATCATCCCTGTCAAATAATACCATGCGGGACACATTCGTTTTTTCTTCGCGCGCGCACGCCGTCGTCGTCGGCCGCGGGGCCCTGAATAGTAGCCACGGTCGTCCGCATGCCACGAAGTGAAGTGTCCGAACGTCATAGGGCGGGAAGCTGGGTGTGGGTGGTGGCGAAGAGTCGTTTGGAAATTTGGTAGAGCTTGAACCGGCCCCCCCACAAAGTGGGGGTATTGCCCGCCTCCTATGAAAACCCTGGCACTGGTGAGAACGGAGTGTCCCCACGTGCTAGTAATTGTTGTTGTTGTTGTTGTTGTTGTTGTTGTTGTTGTTGTGTTTTGTTGAGGTTTGTTGAGGTTTGTTGAGGTTTGTTGTTTGGTGTTTGTTGTTTGCTGTTTGTTGTTTGTTGTGTGTGTGGTTTGTTGTTTGTTGTATGGTGTTTGTTGTTTCTTGTTGTTTGTTGTCGTCGTCCCCCCCCCGCGACCCACCCGCGACCCACCCCGCGATCCTCCCCGCGACCCGCCGCTCGACCCACCCCGCGACCCAACCCGCGACCCACCCGCGACCCACCCTGCGATCCACCCGCGACCCACCCCGCGATCCACCCGCGACCCACCCGCGACCCACCCGCGACCCACCCGCGACCCACCCGCGACCCACTTGCGACCCATCTGCGACCCACTTGCTACCCACCCGCGACCCACCCCGCGACCCACCCGCGATCCACCCGCGACCCACCCGCCACCGATCCACATTGGTTTGAAGAAAATATCGGCGCCTGCGGCAGGTTAGTTGTAGAATTTGGTGAAATTTTGGCGCCAGCGGCGGGCTTCTCCAGAGTCTCGCAGACTGCCGACGTCCCCACCGCCCCCTCACTCTTATCCGCATCTGCGGAGTGCTACCTAATCTTTTTGTGGATCGATCCATTCATCCAAAAAAGAGCTTGGGAGATCAATCCACCCTGGTTTCCTGGTCTGTCTATCACAGCCTTGGTCTCGCCATGAGATCGTATGATATTGCCCTTTGTGCACTCAGCGCGTCCGCTGTCCACACTCGCCGGGGTGGAGCAACGCTCGTGGACGTGTCGCGGGGGCAGACCCTCTACAGGAGGAGATTTCAAACATAGTAAAAAAATACTCTGGGGACGATTGTTCGACTATTGTTTGGCTATTTCGGGGCAGTTGTTTGACATAGTTGCAATGTGTTCGCTAAACATCCGCCTGCAGGGGGACATGCCCGACCTAACTCCAGAGGTCTTTCCGCCGCAGGCCCGCGGCGGGGCGGGGAAGTCCGCAGGCCCCAGGCCCCGAGCCTCGATCCTCTCGGGCGGCCCTGTGCTGAGAGGGCCCAGACCCCATCGGGCAGGGAAAAACATCACGACGGTCATTTTTTTAGTATTTTCGGCCCCTCGGGTCCCTTCCCAGGCCTCGGGAATGAACAAGTCACGACGGTGGGTTTTTCAACCTCTTGGGGCCCTTCCTGGGCCTCGGGGCCGTCAAAGAACAACTCGGGATGAAAAACGGGTCCCCAGGAAAGGGCCCAGACCTCTGGGGGCCGAGCAAGACCGGAGGGAGGAGAAGCGATACCAGCACCACCAGGGGGCCCACCTCCAGCGAGGAGGTCCACAATGCCTCCCCGAGCGGGAGACTGGGGATGCCTGGAGCGAGAGGGGGGGGACCACACCACCAGGGAGACCCCCCTTTGCCTCCGCGCATCTCCTGGCCCTGCAGGTGTCAGTGTCGCCTTCCCTTGTTCCTGCAAGACCTCCCGGCGCTGTGAAACACCCGGCGGCGGGAGGTCTGTCGCTATGGGCGGCCCGCGAGAGCAGCAGCGTTCGGCCTGCGCCGCGCGAACTGCCAGCATCGCGGCGCGGGGCCCCCTGGAGTCACGACAAACATCACGCCGGGGAGGCTTTCCCTACTGGGCTGGCCTCCGGCCAGGGCCGCCGATCCGGGGGGGGTGAGAGCGAGATGATCATGGGGATCCTGGGGACGTCTTGGAGGCTTCTGGAGCCGTCTTGGGGGCATCTTGGGCGGCTTGGAGCGATGTTTCGGCGAGTCGGGGCCCTCTTGGACCTCTGGAGGTCCTCTTGGGCCTCTCTTGGCTTTTTCTTGCCGTCTTGTGCGGTCTGGGCTCTGGACTTGGGTCGTCACGCCGGGGAGGTGTTCCCTATTTTCTGCCCCCCGGGGGCCCTCACCGAGCCCCGGGACCGCCAGCAAAACAGTTTCTCTGCACGAGCGAAATGGGCACGGAAAGTGGGTACAATTCCCAACAGCGGACCTGGTTCATTTTGAGCAGGACTCGCTGTCCACGCCGCCGCGGCCTGTGTCCATTCGAGACAGAAGGCCGCCTGCCCAACAGCGGCCGCCGTTGGCTTGGGACAACATTTGTTGTTGGGCATTGTACCCATTCTTTTCGTGCCCATTTCGGGCGTCCAAAAACTCCAGGATGAAAAACGAGTCCCTTGGCATCGCTCGGACGTGGGCACTGTTTCTCGGCGGGGGTGATTCGGGAGCATCCTGGATCATCCTGCGAAAAAAAAAAAAACTCTCACGACACCGACAAAAAAACACAGGGTATGGACGTCCGAGCGATGGCCAGGTCCCTGGGAAAGGGTCCAGACCTCTGGGATCCGACGTTGTGAACAACTTAGCTCGTCGGGGGTCTGGGGGGGAGGGTGCACCCACCGCTCCCCGTCCTCCGTTTGCTCGCCCCCTCCGGTGCCTTCTGGGGGGGACCCTCGTCGCCACCGCTGGATTCGCCCCGAGGTCCTGGCCAGAACGCGCCCCAGGAGAGGTCCGGGGAGCAGTCGACCAAGAAGCAATCGGCACCTCCCCATCTACGGCCCCCCACGTTGCACTAAGGACCATCGGGCACGCCGCCTGAGTTCCTGATGTAGGTTAAGCCCCGTGGGGCCGTATGTGGGGTGGTGTCGTCTGTCTTCTGGTCCAAGTAGCGTTAAGTCGGGCATGTGTCTCTACAGGACAAACATTCAAGAATGGTAACAAATAGTATGGGGACGATTCTTCGTGCTCTCTGGGCTAGTGTTGCTTATTGTTTGACTGTGGTATTTTGTTCTTCACAAATCTGCCTGTAGAAGGACATGCCCGACCTAAAAGTAGGGGGTTCCCCAGACCCCCAGCCTCGTGATTTGTTCACTCTGTCGCCCCCCAGAATTTTGAACCCCTTCCCCCGGACCAGCTTTTCATCCTGAGTAGATGTTTGACGCTCCCGAAGGCCGGCGAGGGCCCTTGGCGGCCGAAAATAGCGAAACAAAGATCCGTCGATGGGGGTCTGGGAAACCTGCCGGCAGGAGGACATGCCCGACCTAAAAGCAGCGGTATCGGTATTTCTTGTTTTCCCCAATGGTGCAGCGTGCTTCGCGCGAAGGGCGGCGCGCTGCCGCCGGCGGTTACGCTGCATCTTCGGGGGACCTCGCCTGACCCCAAAGGCGGTGTCTCTGCTTGTGCCCGACGCGGGCTCGATGCGGACGCGACGCGGATTAGGCGTGGATTCGACGCGGATTCGACATGGATTCGCCACGGATCCGGCACGGATCCGATGAGGCCGACATGGATCTGACACGGACTCGACCCAGATAGGACCGCGACGGGACAGACAAGTCCCCCGAGGATGCAGCAGAAGACGTGCCCGACCCAAAAGTAGCGGCTTGTGGCGGTGCCGGTAGCTTTTGGTCTCCCCGTGGATGGTGCAGCGTGCTCTGCGCTCAAGTGCGGCGCGCTGCCCCTGCGGGGCCTCTGGCCCGCGCTCACCAGCCTGGAACAGATCCCTATCCCTATGATTGGCATCGCCTCGTCTCGATGCCGATCTTAGGGATTCCCTCCGTTTCTGAGGGGGCATCTTGTCGTCGATGTTTGGCCTGTTAATCTTAGGGATAGGGATACGTTCGAGGCTGCTTACGCGCGTGCAGCCCGCCCGTGCCACGCCGCAGGGCGCGCGGGACGCGGCCGGCAGGAGCGGCGGCCCGGCGCTCTGCGCGGTGCCGGAGCGGCCGAGCGCGGGAGGACAAAGAGCCGGGGCGCGCGCCCTCGTCTGCGGCCTCCCCCCCCTCCTCCTCCTCCTCCTCCTCCTCCACCACCTCCTCCTCCTCCCCTTCCTCGTCTGCGGCCTCCCCCCCGTGAGGCCCTGCAGGGGGCCACATGCGAGCCCTACCCCCCCAGAGATCCAACGCAGTGACAAACATCAAGACGGAGGTTTTTCTCAAATTTCGGCCCCTAGGGGCCCAAGCCGGGCCTCGGGACCGTCAAAAAACGACTCCGGACGAAAAAACGTTCCTGGGGAATGGGTCGAGACTCCCGGGGACCGCGTATGGAAAAAATCACGACATCGGATCTCTGGGCCTACCCCCCACGAGTCCTGAGGGGGAGGGTGGGCTTCACTCCGCTCGGGAGCTCCCGAGCGGAGTGAAGCCCACCCTCCCCCTCGGAAATCGTAGGGGGTACCCTGACCTTCCAGGAGGGCTAAAAAATAGCACCCGACCTAAAAACCTATCCCAGAGCTATTCTACGTCTTGGTTTTAGGCTGTTTCGTTTAGTTTTTTAGGTTTTTAGGTCTCCAGTGCTAAAAAATAGCTCTCTGGAAGGTCAGGGTAGGGGCAGGGTTCGCATGTGGCCCCCTACCCTGGCGTTTCAAGTTGTTCGAGCCCTGGACGCTTTCGCCCAGCTTCGGGCCCCGGGGCCCCTGCAGATCGATGCGGCTCGGAGAGTGGGGCAGAGAGGCGGGGCCCAGGGCTCCGGTCGCGATTTCTCGCGGGGCCTCGATTTCTTCGGGACGTCGGATCTCGGGGCCCTCCTCTCACGAGAGGAGAAGGAACCACTACCACCAGCTAGGGGGGGGGGGGGGCTGGCCGCTCCACCCGGCCGAGCCGGTGGCACGCACCGCGTGCCCGGCGCGCCCCTAGAGAGTGCCCGTAGCGGAGTGCCACAAAGCTCGGGAGAGTGGCCTTCGGGAGCGGAGCTCTGTGTGTTTCTGGTGGTGGTCGCTCTTTTTGATTCCACGATCCTTCGGTATCGTTTGACCGATCCATGTCCCCATGCTCATCCCGGTCCCCGCCATCCCACCACCCCAGTTGGGGACGTGCCCCTCGAATCTCGAAGGAACAGCCTGGCGAATAATGTTCGGTCCTTCCCGCCACCGAATTGAATGTTTGATGCTCCCCAAGCGTCGAATCTAAACTTTGCCCCAGCGGCTCGAACCAACACGGACACGGCGGGAAGCAAGATGAGGTGGCAGAAGACGGCTGCGACGAGGACGATTACCGTATGAACACCGCTAGCGGGAGGGCGAGGCAGCCGCAGCCTCGACCCGGCGTGTGCCCCCCCTGGAAGGTTTCTCCGAAGGGCTTTGGCGACCAGTCCTCCTTCTCTCTCCTCCTCATCTCTCCTCGTCCTCCTCCTCCTCCTCCTCCGCCTCCTCCGTTCCTCCTCCTCATCCTTTCCTCCTCATCATCCTTTCCTCCTCCTCCTCCTCCTGCTCCTCCTCCTCCTCTTCCTCCTCCCACTCCTCCTCCTCCTCCTCCTCCTCCTCCTCCTCCTCCTCCTCCTCCTCCTCCTCCTCCTCCTCCTCACCTCCTCCTCCTCCTCCTCCTCCTCCTCCTCCTCCTCCTCCTCCTCCTCCTCCTCCTGCTCCTCCTCCTCCCTCCTGCTCCTCCTTCCTCCTCCTCCTCCTCCTCAGCCTCTCTTGGGCTAACCTGGGGCTCTCATTGGGCCGTCCTGGGCCGTCTAGGAACCCTATCGGGCTGCTGCAAGTGGTGGGGCCCGTTGATAGACGCCTCCAATATGGGGTCCGAGTAGAATGGGGCGGAGGATCGCGCTGCATCGCCAAAGCATCGGCGATGCGTCGTCGATGCATCGCCAACGTCAGCGACGCCTCGGCGACTTCGGCGTTGAGAAGATCGGGCTCCGCATCGAGCACCATCGCCGATGCATTGGCGGTGCGGCGCGATCCTCCGACCCCATCTACTCCGATCCCATCTGGGAGGCCTCGATTGGGAGACTACAGAGAAGCCGCCGGGCATCACTTCGCATTCTACCACGCCTCAGCTTGCCAGGGGGCACGGTGGCGGATAGGTTTGCGCCAGGTCAATTTCACCATGGCGTGCTGTCTGTTACGCGCTCTTCCATTCGTCGCCTGCGGCGCCATGGCAGTGGCGCTTGGGGACGGGACGTCTCTCGCACAGTTGACGCGAGACGTGCCGTCCAAGGCGATGTCTTTGTAATCGACCTCCGGAATGGAGCTCTCCTGGCAAATCGAACACATGGCCGAGAAGCTTCCGGAAGGACCGACCAGGGAAATGTTCTCACGATTGAAGGTATGCGGAGTTTTGCAAGCAATTCCCGCGCCTTGGCGAAGGCGTCGATGGCGGATACCTCGTATGCTTGGACGGGCTTGACGGGAGCATCCGCGCGAGTTATTCCATGGGCGTCGAACAAAAAACGACCCGTGGTCCTAAGATATTTATGATGTTGAAAATTATGGTGCACCAGTTCGATTGTTCCGTGAACCGTCGCATTAAGGTTTAACCAACGGATTGCGACGATTGCCATTTTCACCAGACTTGTTTGCAGGGTGCGAAAGGACATAAGGGGACACTCGTTTGGCCCGAACATGAACATGTAGCAGATCCTCAACCTAGCTGTTCAGGCAGGCGCCCCAGACAATAGCCTGATAATGAAGATGGACATCGAAGGCTCAGAGTGGCCGATGTATGCTGATGGACAGGCTGGACTGGAAAAGCTTCAGCAATTGGGTTTCGAGTTTCACGAGTTGAGGCAGACGAAGTCCCACGATATGTACGCTACCGCTCTGCGGAACATACAGGACGCCGGCTTCGAAGTCGCCATCCATGGCAATATTAATTGGTACTTCTATTCTGTCCACGACAGTAAGGACGATTTCGTCATTCCCAGGGTTCTCGAGGTCACACTTGTCAAGAATATGCCTTCCCTCGCGACCTGCCAGGCCAGGCAGCATCTGCATCCGCTGGACCGCGACAACAATCCTGAGCTGTGGCCGCTGCCCATGGCGAAGCTCCCCGACGAAGCCGCTCCTCCCCTCCTCCCCCCTGTCCCTCCTTCTCCCCTTTCGTCGTTGTCGTCGTCCTCCTCCCTCTCCTCGTTCGCCTCTCTTCCTTCCTCTCCCTCTTCCGTTCTCCCCCCTCTCTTCTCCTCCCTCTTGCTCCTCCCCCGTTCTCCCCTCTCTCCCCATCCCCCTCACCCAGGGGCAGGGGGTGGCAGCAGGAGGAGGAAGAGGGTAAGAGAGACAGTTGGAGAAGAGGGAGAGGGAGAGGGAGAGGGGGGGGGGGCAGGGCATGCTAGTTGGCTTCTCTCCTCCACCTTCCTCCGCCGTCCTCGCCCTTCACCCTCTTCCCCCCTCTTCCCTCTCGGTGTTCACCCCTCCTCTCTCATCCAGCCGAGGCGCTGCAGGTGAACAAAAGATCAGCCGAGCGGCGACGGGTGAGTTTGGGCCGCTGATCCATCGAGAAAGAAGAGTCCTCCTCCTCCCCCATCCTCTCTTTCCCTCCTCTCCCCTTCCCCATGTCGCTCCTTCATCTTCCTACAACTCCTCCTCACCGCCCGCTTCGCCTTCGGGCCCGGCGTGGATCTAAAACATCCGCCAGGAGCGCCACAAGTTTGTGTTGATGCAATGCTTTCTTATTCTACTGCGGCGTCTTGATTTTCTCAACGCAGTCAACGGGCACAGTAAGGATGAGCAGCTTTCCAAGGTTACCCTTGCATTTTTCCCCTTGGACCCATCGTTGACCGCTTTCGCTGGCCGCGTTCCGCTGGCAGAGTGTCGACATGGCCTTCCAAGGCCCTTGCATCCTTGTCGTGCGTCCTTCTCATCCGGGCGGACTGTACGTGGTCCCCGGAAGTCCCGACCCTTTTCCCGGGGTCGGCGCTCTCATCCTGAGCAGTGTTTGAGGCTCCCAGGGCACGGCGACGGCCACCAGAGGCCGACAATTGCAGAACGAACTCGCCGCCCTGATATGTTTGACCGCGGCGCTCCCGCGGTCGCTTGAGGCTGGCGTGCATGACGCGCCGCTGGCGGCACCACCACCGCAGCGTTTTGCTTCTTCCGGTACTTCGCCACCGGGTTCCTGTAGAAGGCGTTTCTTTTGCATGCACACCGCCTTCGGCGCCGAGCCTGATTCCGGGGCGTTGCCCTCTCTTGGCCTTGACGTGGGGCCCCTCCTTCTGCCTTCCCCCCTCTGTCAATTGAAGCGGTGCGCGGCCCGCTTCGCTTCCACCAGAAGAGTCAGGAGGGGAAATAACACACAGACACAATTGATCGTCGATTCCAAGGAAAATATGGGAAAATATGGGAAGTGGGGGGGAAGACAAAAACCCAGAAAATATGAGGAAATATGGGGAATATTTTTATTTGTGTGTATTTATTTGTGTGTCCAGGGGCCCCTTCAAAGAGGCTCGCTCTTGCCCCGCGGGTCAAAAAAGTTTGACCACGGCGCAAGCATGGCTGGGTCGTCGTCGTCGTCGTTCCGCCTCGGCCGCGGCCGCCCTCCGCCGCCGAGGCTCGGCGGCGGCTGCCGTCGGAGGAGGCGAGGAGGGGGGCGGGCCTTCCCAGGAGGCTCTCGTGAGGCCTCTCGGGCCCTTTTGGAGAGGCTCTCGAAGCCCTCTGCGGAGACGGTGAGGGCCTCCCACGAGGCCCGAAGGCTCCTGCGAAGCCCCGCCCGCTTCTCGCGTCTCACCCTCCCCTCACTTCTCACCCTTCGGCGCGCCTCCACTTCTGGGCAGGTCTGCCCCCCCCCCCCTCTCGCCTCTCACCCCTCGGCGCGCCGCCGAGTGTTTGGCCCGCGGGTCAGAGCTCGGGCCTGCCGGCGGCCCCGCGAGGCGACCTGGGCACCCCCAGGTCGGGTGTTGCCAGAGGTGCCCCTGGCCCAAGGTGCCCCCAGGATTTTCGAGGAGGCCACTGCGGCCTCCAGAGCACCCCTCACGGGGTCCGGAGGGTCCCAGGAGCTCCAAAATTGAGCGAAAAGCTGGGGGCACCTTGGGCCAGGGGCACCTCCAGCAACCCCCGACCAGGGCGCGGCTGGCGGGGCGCAGCTGCCAGGAAGCGCCGCGCGGCTGGAGGGCGGCGATGACCGGCGAGAACGCCCCAGGACCCCGAACCCGGAGCCCCAGGCTCCCAGATTGCCCCCAGGTGCGCCGCCGACCCAGCGACACCACCCCACCCACGACCCGCTGGGTCGTTAGGTGGGTCGTGGGTGGGGCGGTGGTGGGTCGTGGGTCGTCATAGGTGGGCAGGTGCCCGAAGCTTCAGACATCACTGGGTCGTTGGTGCAGGGCGGCGTGTGTTTTCTGGCCCATCAGCCTTGAGGCGGGGGTCAGTGCGAACGGGGGTCAGCCAGAGCGCCGGGTCACGACGGATCCTGCAGAGAGCTAGGGGTGTTTTGAAAGGGGCTTGCGTGCTGGATCTTGCAGGATCCTGTAGGATTTTGCAGGATCCTGCAAAGTCCGACTGGCCCCGTATGGCATTTCGGCGGGGAGCGAGGGGGCAAGCGGGAAGGATAAGGCCTTCTCAGAAGGCGGCGGGGCTTCTCAGAAACACTCCGGCCTGCTGGGAAGTTTCCTGTGTCTTCCGGGAATGGTTAGAATACCTCTTAGGAGGCCCGAGGATTTCCCAGCCTTTCTGAGAAGGTTTCCTCCCCACCTCCCCCCCTCGCTCGCCGCCGAGAAAAGCCCGACTTTCCCTGCCGCTGTGGCGACCCTTGTTCGCTTGGAGTGGGCTCCAAGAGCATGGCTGGGCTTTGGAGTTGTCGTCCGCGCCCGGCACCCTTGTTGACGAAGCGCGAGTCCGTCGGTTCTGCCCGGCTCGTCCCCTCAGCTTTCCTCCTATTTCTCCCAAAAATGCGCAGGAACAAAAACAACACAACAAAGTTCGCATTGATCCGGGTCAGCCCTGGGGGGGGCGCCGCCGAGAGGTGACCCGCCACGAGGCCGCGGAGGGTCTCGCCGCGGTGTGGGCCTTCGGCGCCGAGGACGGCGGCGCGCCAGCGCGCAGGGCGGAGGCGTCCCGCGGGGGGCGTGTCGTGGGCAACCGTTGGGGGGGGGTGCTCCTCCTCCTCCTCCTCCTCCTCCTCCTCCTCCTCTCCCTCCTCCTCCTCCTCCTCTTCCTCCTCCTCGATCCTCCTCCTCCTCCTCCTCCTCCTCCTCCTCCTCCTCCTCCTCCTCCTCCTCCTCCTCCTCCTCCCCCTCCTCCTCCTCCTCCTCCTCCTCCTCCTCCTCCTCCTCCTCCTCTTCCTCCTCCCCCTCCTCCCCCCCCTTCTCCTCGTCCTCCTCCTCCTCTTCCTCCTCCTCCTCCTCCTGCTCCCACTCCTCTCTGAGCCGACGTTCGTCTAGGCGCCGCCGCCACGCCCGCGGGGAGGGAGCGATCGGACAGTGGGAACTGCGTGCGCCCTCCTCCTCCTCCTCCTCCTCCTCCTTCTTCCTCCTCGTTCCCCTCCTCCTGCGCCTCCTCCTCCTTCTCCTCCTCCACCCTCCTCCTCCTCCTCCTCCTCCTCCTCCTCCTCCCTCCTCCTCCTCCTCCTCCTCCTCCTCCTCCTCCTCCTCCTCCTCCTCCCCCTCTCTGAGCGGAGGTTCGTGTAGGCGCCGCCGCCGCGCCCTCGGGAAGGGAGCGAACGGACAGTGGGAACTGCGTGCGCCCTCCTCCTTCTTCCTCCTCCTCCCACTCCTCCTCCTCCGTCTCGTCCTCATCGTTCTTCTCATCCTCCTCCGTCTCCTCCTCCTCGTCCTTCTCCTCCTCCTTCTCCTCCTCCTCCTCCTCCTCCCCTCCTCCTCCTCCTCCTCCCCCCCCCTCCTCCTCCTCCTCCTCCTTCTACTCCCCCTCCTCTCCTCCTCCCCTCCTCCTCCTCCTCTCCACCTCCTCCTCCTCCTCCTCCTCCTCCTCCCCTCCATCCTCCTCCTCCTCCTCCTCCCCTCCTCCTCCTCCTCCTCCTCCTCCTCCTCCTCCTCCTCCTCCTCCTCCTGCTCCCTCCCCCTCCCCTCCTCCCTCCTCCCCTCCTCCTCCTCCTCCTCCTCCTCCTCATCCTCCTCCTCCTCTTTCTCCTCCTCCTCCTCCTCCTCTTTCTCCTCCTCCTCCTCCGTCCCTCCTCCTCCTCCTCGTCGTCCTCCTCCTCCTCCCTCCTCCTCCTCATCCTCCACCTCCTCCTCCTGCGCCTCCTCCTCCCTCTTCCCTCCTCCTTCACCCCTCCTCCCTCTTCCCTCTTTCCCTATGCTCCCTCCTCCTCCTCCCTCCTCCTCCTCCTCATCCTCCTCATCCTCCTCCTCCTCCTTCCCTCCTCCTCCTCCTCCTCATCATCTCCTCCTCCTTCTCCTCCTTATCCTCTTCCTCCTCCTGCTCCTCCTCCTCCTCCCCCCTCTTCTCTTCCTTCTCCCCCTCGCGCCTTCAGTGAGGTTTTCTGTGTCTTCGGGGACAGCTTAGAAAACCTTTCAGATGGGCGGGGGACTTTGAGCTGTCTGGAAAGGCCCGCCCCCTATCACTGTCCCCGTGGGCCGGCCGCCAAGATGATCTGACGTCGTCATGGCGCCCATTCCATTTCACTCCCCGTCGCAAAGAAGGGCCGGGAGAACCTCCAGCGCATCGGGCGAGGTCTCTGCCATGGTGGCCCAGCGGTCCCCGTCCTGGAGGCCGCCGCCAGCCGAGTGCGGCGCGATCGGGCGCGGCGCATGATGCCTGGCGCTTTGCACCTTGCGTAGTGCCCTTTGCCACGGAGGCTGTGGCGCTCAGGACACTTCAGGACACTCCTCCCCCTCCTTGTTCTCCTTGTTTTCCCTCCTGGTTTTCCACCTCCTCCTCGTCCTCCTGCTCCTCCTGCTGCTCCTCCTCCTCCTCCTCCTCCTCCTCCTCCTCCTCCTCGGGCACCGCTGGGGGGCAAGGCTTGGGGGGATGCGGCCGGGACCTTTTGATTCGGTACGATTGAAGTTGGCACGGGAAGAATGGGTACGAAGACCGACAGCATGTCCTGATCATTTTGGAGAAGATTCGCTGTAAGTGTCGACGTGGACGTTGACCATTTGAGAGAGGTGGCCACCTGTCCAGCAGCGCCGCTGTCGGTTCTCGGCAGAATCTGTTGTTGTCGCGGGGGGTACGGTCGCGAATTGTTGGTTGGCGTGTTTCGGTAGCCATTCCTGGGAGCATCCCTTGTCCTCGCAAGCCTGGCTTCAGCATGCACTAGCGTGCGCTAGCGCTTGGTAATTGCCGAAACATATCCGCTTTAGCGTCGAGTAACGTCGACTTAGCGTCGGCTAGTTTCGAGTAGCGTAGGTTAGCGTCGATTCGCAAAAAAAATCAATATGATGGCATGGGAGGCTTCCATGAGTTACCACAAAAGCGTGTGGCTCTACTGGTGGTGGTCCACCATGTTTCGGCGCGACACGCTATCGACCACGCGGTCCTCCGGCGTCCACGTCCTGAATTTTCACAGTTTCCCGCACCGCAGTGTGGAGCGGCACGCTATCCGCTTGCAAGGCATATCGTGTAGCTGGGGCAGCCGCCGCGGCAAGCTAAGCAAGGGATCCCCGACCCCAGACCCCCGACGTCATGATTTTTTCATTACGTCAACCCCCAGAGGTCCCGACCCTTTCCCCATGACCGGCTTTGCATCCTGAGTCGTTTTTTGACGCCTCCGAGGCCCGGTGAGGGGCCCCTGAGGCCGAGAATTAGGAAAAAAAACCCGTCATGATTTTTTCATTACTCGAGGTGGTTCTGTGACCGCAGGCTCCGGATCGAGAGCAGAAGTCTAAGGTTCGAGATTTGCGGGCGCCTTCGTCGCTTCCCATCGGGATCCGACGAACGTGCCCGCACACCTCCAACGGGATGCCTGCCAGCGGAGGCGCCTCGCCGAGGGCGCTCGGGGAGCGCCAGGATCGCCCCGATGGCCGGTGGAGGCGGGGGATGTGGCCCGAACAAGCCAGGGGCAACGCTGCGGGGGGATGGGCTCATGAGGGGGCGCATCGACCCCCAATCTCAGGAGGGAAAAAACAAACAGACACAACGGATAGTCGATCCCCCAGAAAATATTTGAAAATATGGGAAGTGGGGGGGGAGAGAAAAACTTCGAAAATAAGGGGAAATAATGGGAGTCCTGTTATTTGTGTGTGTGTGTGTTTATTTGTGTGTCCCAGGGCCCCTTCACAATCGCCCATTGATCGCCGACTGGGGCTCGATAGCCCAACCCCGCCCAGGGCCCTTGCCATCGGGTGCCTATCGCGGATCTGTCGGCGATGCCCTCTGAGCCCGTCCCCCCCCAAACGTTCCTCTTCACCCTGGGCTTGGATCCCCGTTTGGGGGACCATTCTGGGGCCCGCCTACCCGATCTGTTCGAATCTACAGTCGGGGCCCTGAAGAAGGAACCCTTTTCGTTGGGGAGGGGCTCGGTGTTCCTTAAGTGTTTCGCAGCTTGCCTCAGGTTTTCCTTAGGTTTTCGATGGGACATCGAAGTTTACCTTATGGAAAAAAGGGGCCTCGTTCCTTATTTAGGGTTCCTTAGGTCAAGGCCCCGACTGTATGTTCGGTTTCACCTCGATCTAATTTCGACTCGGGGTCGGCCAGAGTCGACGGACCTCCCACGCAGCATCGACGCGCGAGCGGAGCGAGTGGCTCCAGGATTCCCCAAGTGAGGATCTGCCTGAGCGGGCGCGGATGGTGGGCCACGACGGGGGGTCCTGCCACCCTTGATTCGGGGGTGGACAGACCTCCTACCCTGACACGTCGATTAAGGAATTGGCCGTTGTCGGTTCGCGAGAGGCGTCGCGGCCGTCCTTTTTGCGGGTCCAGGTCTGTCGGTTTCGGTCCCAGGCCGTTTTCACTAAAGGGAGGTTTACTAAAGGGAGGTGTGTCCACCGCCGATTGATCCCCTCGCGTCGTGCAAAAGTCATGGCGGAAGATGTTTGCCTTAAGTCGGGCCTGTCCCTCTACAGGGGGAAGATCTAAAAATAGTCAAAACATAGTCTGGGGACTATTTGTTTAGTACTCTTTGACCATTTGGGAGTATTTTTTTGAGCATTGCTAATTTTTCGTCGACAATCCCCCTGTAGGGGGACACGCCCGACTTCATGTTTGCCGATTTCCGGTTATCCGGGGGTCCTCGTCGGGTCACCGGACCGCTAGGACACGTCTCTTGATGGAGTTCCGCTCCTCGGGAAGGGGTCGGGGCCTGCGGGTGGGTCCATTCTCTGGGAAACGTAAGACTCGAGTACGCCCGATCTCGAGTTTGCCGTCGCTTTTTGACAGCGCGTCTTGGGCTTTCACGGTTCAGTTATTGTGTGGGATGTCTGCAGCGGGAGGTCGCATCAAATTTCAGGCTGGGCCTCGTCCTGCTCTTGACGGCCCCGTCGGGCCAACCCGAGTCCCCCGTACCCGAGTCTTCACGTCTCCTGACATTTTGCCAAAACCAACACGGTCGGGGGTTCGTAGAGGCAGGGTTATCCCAAAATGGGGCTGGGGAGCGGCCCCAGCTGGACGCTCCCGTGGAATGCGGTTCCTTTTTCCGCGGGCCGTTCGGAGCGATTTTCCTTCCAACCCCACCTTGAGCCCCAACCCCGCCTTGGTGCCCCCCCCGAAACTGCGTCGGGCTTCCAGGTTGCCGTCGTCGTCCCCGCTCGCGCCCTGGCAGGGCGGCTCGAGGGCGCCGACTATGGCAGCAGACCCCGGGCACGCCCTCTCAGGGTCCGAGGGGGAGGGGGAGGGGCACGGGGAGGCGCGCAGCCTTAAATCCTCCTCCTCCTTCTCCTCCCCCTGCTCCTCCTCCTCCTCCTCCTCCTCCTCCTCCTCCTCCTCCTCCTCCTCCTCCTCCTCCTCCTCCTCCTCCTCATCTCCTCATCCTCATCCTCATCCTCATCCTCCCCCTCCCCTCCCCCTCCCCCTCCCCCTCCCCCTCCGCCCCCCCCCTTCCCCTCCCCCTCCCCCTCCTCCTCCGCCACCTCGCCCCCCCTGCTTGGATAGCAGGGGCCCCGTCATCGACTCGGGGACAACCGGGCGCCCCCGCCAGCGGAGCTGGCGGGTGGTCGG